AGTTTTTCTTTTTTTACACTGAGAGAGAACAGAGACCTCCCAGTTTTGTAGTACTGAAAAAAAATCCAATGAATTAGGATTCTTCAGAATATAGGCTATATGGAAAACCCCAGGAAAGTAGTTAGAATACTTGCATATTTAGGGCTAGGATCACATGTAATTGGAAAATAATTGAATTGGAAAATAAACCTGAAAACATCTGCTTAAATAATGGCCTGATTCTCCTGTGTCTTTCCACAATCATGCACTCAAAAATTAGATTATTCTCAATGAGCATATGTACTTTGAACTATTATTGGTATTATCCATAACCTATAAAGAATATAGCTAACACATAAATGTAATCTTTTCTTAATAAGAACCATACTAATCATGGCTCACACTAAATTTCAAAATTTAAATAATCATCCAAGCCTAATTAACTAATTTTCCACTAAAAACCTTGGATAATTTCTAACTAGAATTCCAGATCTCAGCTCTAAGCTACATAAACCATTCTGAATTCTCTTCTTTTTGCCTTCTGTCAAATTCAAAACTGCCTTAGCATGACTTATTTCATTTATAGTTCTTGTGCTACCAAAAAAGGGGAATTATTTTTTTTTCTTCACAAATAGGTAGTCAATACAATCAATTAAGACCACAGGATTTACTCCTTAATTTAAAGTCTCATCCCATAGGATTTATGATTCAGATCACAGTCTGAATAGAGCTGCTAGCAAAAATCCTGCAGATTTCAGAACTTGGCTCATATTAAAAAAATACAGTCATTATGGGTTAAAATCTTCTTGCCATTCTCACATAACTGATCCCACTGAATTCAACAGAAGCTTCTACACAGAGAAAGAAAGAAAGGCCTGCATATGTCCTGTCTCCAAGACGTTCTATTACAATTGCAAATGTTCTGGATTGGTGTCTTGTTAATGAAAACAATTTGCCAACAAGCCAATAAATAACTGAAAAACAGACAGCAAGATAATCAAATAATTCCTTAGTTGCAGTTATTGTATCACTGTAAACAAAGATCATTTCATTTGAAGGAAGAATGATCTTTCTCATTTAAAATTGTGTAAAAATAAACTTTCACATTGGAAGCCTATCACGTTCTCTGATGAGATGCCAGAAGGCAGATGCACAATATGCATATACCTGATTTCAGACCTGGACACTCAGAAATCCCCAAGGCAAAGGCTTGAGAATAGAGAGGCGCAATGTTAACTTGCTCACCTGAAGCCCCAGAACTGTAACTCTATCCAAAGAGATCCTTCGGCAGACATCATTTTATGTGAACAAAGGAAAATTTAATGGTTTAAGTTGGACTGAGAGTGTCTGAATTTTGTTTTTACTTTATCTTTAAATGCATTGCAGCAAGTATTCTGATAACTTGAAAGAGATGCCTTTCATTACACAGCACAAAAGAAAATCCTTTTTTTTTCCTATACAGAACTGATTCTGGTCCTTCAGGCAACTGGGTTTTACTCTGTCGAACGCAAAAACTTTAAGACAGACAATAATACATTTTTTAATCTTCCTGCACATCTTGGAAACATTCTTAATATGATTTTCTGCTAATCCTTTTCTACTGAGAGCTTTCACATGGTTCACAGCTAATACGATCCTACATTTTAAAGAGGATGGATTATCCTCCTGGCCATACAACAAGCAGTGAAAAGAACTTTTTTATTTTCTCAGATAGAATTTTATTTCAGAGTAGCAGCCTGAAAATATCTGTTTCTTTAAGGTCAGATTGTTCCTTCAGTCATACCACTTTTTGAATAACTAAGAGACACTTTCAAGACATAACTTACTCTCCGTTTCCCTTTGACTAAAGAAATGGTAAAAACATAGTAAAACTTATCATAAAACAGCCCTGATGTCATCATACGGCTTGCTTTCTCCTCCTGCCTGCCCTGTCTTTTATAGGCCCTAAACTAATTGGACCTGGCACTACAGTATGCTATGTTTATACAGAGCTCAGGTAAAACGGGGCTACATTTTCCGCTGCCCTTAAATGCTATTTTAACCTTGTAAGGAATAAACACGTTGAAAGGTGAGATGAGTAGTGATTTTGCTACTCGTCTCCCTCTCTATTTTTATCCTATACCACAAAGACGAGGGAGAAACTCAGAGCTCAGACTTGTTCTTCTTCCTCCAACCCGTACTCTTGGCATGAGGTACAGGAATAAAGACGCGGAATAGTCCTCTTTTTTCACACCTGCATAAGGTTGAGGTAACTCACACATAGCTATAAGTGTGGGTTTTACTGCTCTACTGCTCTAAGTGTGGATTGTAAAGTGCAGTCTAACCTTTGGTACCTTGTTCCATTTGCTGTCAAGAAACAATCTTTCATTGTTAAGACCATTATTAAAAATTTAACACAAGCAGTGGCCAAAGGGCAAAGTAACACTATTTATGCACAGCAAAAGTACTTGCTGCGAATGACTCCTGGAGAAGGTTGCACAAATGTGTGCTTCAATTTCTGCCCAAAAGTTAGGAAAGACTTTTGTGCTTTTTTTTTTAATAGATTATTTACATGGAAGAAAAAGAAGAGCATTGTACAGTATGTACAGTATGTTGCTTTTCTAGGGTTTAAAAACACATGCTATGATATTTACCTTTAACAACTACTTTTTGTTTTCTCATACTTTCCCAACTGATTGCAAGCACAGATGTTTCAGTGAAAATGATAACACCTAAGTGTTATTTGCAACATGCTGATTTCTTCTGTCAAGAAAGGTGGAAAACAAGTCTTTGCTTAACTTCAGGGAGTAATAAAAATAACAACTCGGCCACTGAGTCTCATGAACAATGTTTTTCTCCATCTAAATTAGTTTGAAAAGCTGTTCCAGAGGTTACACAAGCTAGACAAGAGTCTAACCGATTCCACCATGAATCTACGTATGGGCAAGGCCCCAGCTGTCTAGTAAGAAATAACAGATTGTTGCACCAAGAGACATAGGATATTGCTTAAGGAATACAGGATATTGCTTAAGTCCTATCAAAACAGTTAGGGTGTCCAAGGTGAAGAGCCTATGGAAGTAAGTGAAGAGGTAGTTCTCTTCCAAACTTATTAAAATAGCACTCTTTTTTTTAAAAAAAAAAAAGTCATGATTTACAAAGATCATTACACTGATAGTCTGAAGCTGTTTTGCAAATATCTGATCCAATGGAATAAAATAAAGACTTTAAAACACTCAGTCTTAAAACCAAACTGCTGCTTTAGTCAACAATTACACGTACCTAGATCTCTATCACAGACAGGTCTGTTCAAATCCAAAGTCACTACATTGGCTTCTGTAGCACTGCTCAGGATTTATAACAGTGTAACACAACATATAACCTGGTGCTAGTTCATTGTGTTTTCAATGCGTTTAGTTAAACTGGGCACTTCTAGTTTCATATTAGTATTTTACCACTTAGCTTGTCTTCTCCACAAAGGGTCAAGAATTTAAAACCCTTATCTTTGCTTTGTAAATTCATTTCTAGCTCCCTAAGAAAAAAATCCTACTAGATTTGCTCCACTAGCAGGTCTGCATGCTAATTTTGCATTTAGTACAGCATGAAAGTATAAATTTCCCTAAATGCTGGGATATGGCCAAAGTAGGCATCAATCACTGTTTATGTTAGGTAGCTATTATGTACCCACGCAGTGAAAACTAAGGCAAATATGTTTTCAGAATATGCTGATTTGAAACTAGAGTGCAAACTAATGCTAACAACAAAAGTCAAGGAAACAGTTTTCCTGTTGCCCTGATCAAAGTGACTCTTCTCAGCAAAAACAATAAGGTGGGGCCATCTCTGGAAAGGAAAATCTTCCGTTCTGGAGTTTCAGAAGTACTGCTCCATAAACATTTATAGTGGTCACAAGCACTTATTTTACTATTGCTCAAGGAAAATATTTGATCTGGACAATTTGAGCTGAATTAGATAGAGCAGCTCTTTATTCATAGAGCAGAGTGGAGTGAGAGTCATCTGCCAAAAACGCTGCCCTGCACTTTTTGTGCAACACAGGGCAGCAAATGATGAATCTGCCCAGCCAGCATACCTGCGTGCCACTGGCTCCAGGTACAACACTGACAACTGTGCTGCAATTTTCTACCAGGAGAATTAATCTGGATGAGGATCTGCTTGCCAAATTATATTTTCACATTATATTTAAAGTGTATTTTAAGTCAATTGATTTTGCTACAGACTTTCTACACCATTCCCTCTTAGGATGAGAGTTTAGCTAAAAGTTGTTTAGATGCAGAAGGCGGGATAACAGTGGCTTGCTTATCCTGAGATGATAATCTTCAAATGTGCCAGCATTTCATTTGTGCACCTGCCAGGCCCCTTTTAAAGCAAGTGAAGAATGATGCACCTTTCTGACTGATTAAGGCAGGTGACTTGCATCTCTATATGTGTAAAGTACACTTATTTATGGATTAAAACAGAGCAGTCTGGGGTTTCTGCAGAGTTTACTAGTCTGTTACCAATTATCACTAAGACTGTCTGAGAAATGATCCTTAATAAATGAGGAAGCAGCAGACCCAGTTAGGTACCCAAGCACTGCTGGGTATACCAGCACATGCTGGATCAGGCCTGAGGAACAGCACTAAGCAGGGCTGTTTTATAATGCACAAATTGCTTCTTGTCTCAGGGTAACAGCCCATATAACCCGTACTCAGTCCACGTCACCCAAAGCAGAGGTTATTCCTTTGCTTTCACTTTGGTCAGTGAGTCTTCTCCATTTAAGTGTATCTATCTCCCGTACTGACTGGATGTGTCTGAAATCAGCCTGCAAAGCTGGTGTGAGTGGCTTTACATCAGCTTTGGTAGACAAGTAAAAGCAAAAGAGTCAACAGCATAGACCAAGATCTCACCTAAAGCCAGTACCTAAACAACCCTGTGACCTAGATCGATGGTGTGAGTTCAAAAGTTTTTTATGCTTAACTCAGCAGTATATGCTCCAATACTTTTTATATTCTCTTCCATAAAACCGTTTTATTCCAGCAATCTAATGCTCATGAATAAGACTACAATAACAAATTCCAGATAAAAAGGAAATCGAATTTTGGGCTCCCAAGGGATTATCATAAATATACAAGGCAAAAATAATTAAAAGATCTCAGAAGAAAATCTTGACACTTTCTTTAAAACTGATAGAGTGCATATCAAATGAAATAAAAGGTGCATAACTGAAGTCACCAAGCATCGGTATCTGTTGGTAAGACACCACGCAGATGCCAAGCATTGGTATCTGTTAAAACCAGATATAGCCCAAGGACAGAGCGATATGTCAAACCACTCCTTGGTCAGTGTAAGCAAGCAAGCAATGGACAGTGAAGTAAAATGCAAAATGGCTGTTGGGGAACAGCAGAAATGGGTCCTGGCATTTCGGCTGCCTAGGAGCCCAAGCCAACACCTTGTGAACAGCTGAAGGTTTTCAGATTCCATTATCACTTTGCTTGTGCCTCAAAATTTGTAATTTATTGGGATATGAAAGAACATAGCTAAGAATATCACACAATCTTCTGTTTTCAGATATGTAAAACTATCTCATGAACAAATTACCATATGCTTACTCAAAATTTACCTAAATTGTTTTTACTCACCATGGAAATATTTCTAGCAGCTATTTCTCCCCATTTATAGCTATTAGTCAAGGTGACAGGAAGTGTTGAAACGGTAGGTCTCGTTAGAGCACTGGTATTATTAAAACAGAAGTTAATAATTCTGCAAGTTAACCTTATGACCAATTAATCACACAGTGTGATGAGTGCTGGAGGCACTCTATTCCAGATGCACATCCTAATTTACCTGCACTAAAGCACACCTCAGCAAGACAGCTTTTAGGTTGACATATAAAGCAATAAAATGCTGAGCTAAAAGAATTTCTTTTTTGAAATAGCAGGAGTTCAGGCTATGATTTAAAATCTTGTACATTTCACAGGCCTTATGCAACACGGCATCGCTCTTACCTCCATGGGAAAGGCTTTAAAATTAACTGTGTGCTCAGAACCACGCTGGTTTTCTCTCCCCCAGTGAAATCGAACATCATGTAGTTCAAATTCATGTCCTCGAGGTAATGGTCCACCTATTAACACTGGAAAAGAACACAAAAGGTAACAAACTTTGCTTTCCACGTCAGCAAGACACTGAATATATTTTTCAAATACAGTGAGGAGACTGTAGCAAGGTCTTTTATTACAAGCTGTATTAGAGAGGAGAAGAATAAAGTGAATACACCTGACAGCTTTATTTTTTCAGTACTGCCCAGCTATGGATCCCCAACCCATGCAGTTACATGCAACTGTGAAAATACAGCTCTGCTGGACTCTTAGCTATATGAGGCAGAACAGCTGTCCTAAGGCAAAATAAAAGTACTGGAAGGGTGTAAAGGTGCACCTTTATCGGCCACATCAGTGAGTAACTTCAAAGCTCTTATCAAAGCAGTAGCTCTGTGTTCTAAACAGATGGTGAAGAGCTTCCGAGTTAATCTGAAAGCCACCACCAACTTGTCCAAATCACTCCATCATGTGTATTTGCTATGAGTCACAGATAGAAACTTTTGATTGCCAACACTTTGCTGGGTAAAGAAGCTCAGTCATGTACCACCTGTAGGGCTGCTGAGATACACAGTGTGATCAAGTCTATCGTGGAGTAGCAGCAATGTATTTTACTTACTGTCAGCTTCTAGGCTGCCATACTGTTTTCACTGATTTTTCATAAAACACTGAGCATGTCTTAACAGCATCTGCCCACAACGGCAAGACTACCAAGCCAATCTATATAATAACTCCTCTGCATTAACATAACTTTTCCCCATAAGTAGTGAAAACAATTCTACTTATATGAGTCCCAATGTACTCACGAATTAATCGATGGAAATGTTTTATCCAGAAATGCATGCATCTGCTTCAGAACAAAAAATATTCTGCAAGTTGTAGGTAACTTCTTGCTGACATCACTGAGTACTGGGCTTCTGTTCAAGGCGAGATTCTGCTTAAGGGCATTCATAATCTTCCTTGGAATCCCTTAAATTCTAGTTTGCATTTCACAGACTTAGAATAAACCTTTTAAAATCTCTGATAATCAATAAGGATTATTTAATCCTTGCATACTGTACAGCTTCAAGGAATGACAGTTCCATAATACAAAGCCATTTTGACATACACACTATGTATCTTTAGTTGGGAGCACATGTCATACTATTAAACATAATTCAGAAATTGAATTATATTGCAACTGTATGAATACAAAAATAGGAGTAGAAATCTATAAAAAATGAAAGAAAATGTCAATTAGGGTACTCACAATCAATTATACTGGAGAAAAAAGTAAAATATTCAGACTAATCCTCCCTTAATTACATGTCATAACTAACAACCATTAGGTTTTCTAAAACAAATTATCCTAAAAGTACTTATAGATTTAAATTTGCATCTTGAACTTGGATTGTCTTTGCTCATTCTGCCTATGCCTATGTCCTAGAGCACAAATTTGCAAATCTAGTGGACATGATCAGTTAAAAAATCTGTTAAAGTATTTGGGTAAATCCAGAAAATTAAAGGGAAACATGGTATTTTATTAATTTTTTTAGGAAAACAAAGCTTTCTCTCTGCTTTAAATTATTGGTTCTTGTGAACATGTAGCTAGAAAAAATGTTCTCCCTATCGTGTAGTTATGGATCTACAGGAGCTTCAATGGGTTTATTTCTGAGGCTCAATTCACACCAATCCCATGATAAAATTATTTCAATGTATGAAGCGTATTTATTTTTGTTTAGCCTCTCATCAAATTTTGATCCTTGTCAATGCATGAGATGTTTAACTTTTCTTTGCCTTAAAGCAATTTTTGATCCTTATTAGGAAACAATTCTGAAACTATCATCACTGTGCAATCCACCACAGCCTTAAGAGAAGTCTCCCTGTCCTCTGAAACATTTTTCAATGTACAATTCCATTACACATTTGGTCATGCTTCTTCCAGCTAATGTATAACATATGTATGATGATCAAACTGGCAACAGCCTGTAAAAATGTTTACAAGAAGTGAGATTTGGGAATTCCAGATGGACTGTGTATCCGGAATTAAAGGACAAAATCAGTCATCGCTAATGACAAACTCATTTTTAGTATGTAGCTTAATCATTTTACTCTTTTTTTTTTTTTCGACCAGGAGGTTTTACTTTAGCTGTTGAAATTAGAATAGAGGGGAACCTCTTGCACATTAATTGGACAGAGTTTCAAAAGCACTTAGTGCTCAACAGTTCCCATTAAAATAATCTAGCTAAATAGACTTGTCAGTAGAGATCCCCTGTGAGGAAGAGAAGCTGCTTGAGTTTCCGTAATTGCTGAAAATTGGCCAATATGTCAGGCCAAATGCAACTTATTAACTCTCTTCTCCTCTAGGAAGGGATAAGGAATTTTGTCTGGTTCTCATAAGAAACAATGTGAAATAGAATAAAAGTTTATGACTGAAGTATGGCACTAGGATTTAGAAAATCTTTGTTTCAGCTTTTCCTTAGATTTCATATAACATAATTTCCCATTCTCCATTTATGGTCTGGGCATAATTTTTCCTTTTCTTGGAGAACCTTTTCTAGACTCACCAGCCCAGCATCACACTGTATTTATGTTTAAAAATAAGTACTTTCCTTCCTCTAAACCTCCAGTGCTTTTGCACATGCATGTAGGTGTGTTGGTTTATTCTTATTTCTGTATTACTGCTCTTAAGCTGCAAACCTCTCTTGGAAAAGGTAGAGTTGAATGATTAGAACTTTGGCATGCAAGCGATGATATTTGCAATCACTCTTACTTCCTCTGCAAGAAAATTCAAGAAGCTCTGGAATCTTGCAGGGAAAACCTTGCTCCCTGGGGACAGAGCTCTGCTTCTGAGGAAGACCGTAAAACTGCCTGGAAGTAGAAAACATTGGAAATCTGCAAAATTCTGTGGAAAGAAATGATCTGTTTTGCAATAAAATACAGAGCCTAGCATGGGAGGGAAAATATAAAGTAAAATACCATTATTAAAATAACTGACACCTCCTATTTTAAAAAATTCTGTGTAAAACTGAATCGACTCCCTGACTTGCAAGACTACCAGTATCTCAGAATCACAGAATGGTGGATGTTGGAAGGGACCTCTAGAGATCATCTAGTTCAACCTCCCTGCACAAGCAGGGACACCCAGAGTACATGGCACAGGGTGGCATCCAGGTGGGTTTGGAAGATCTCCAGAGAAGGAGACTCCACAGTCTCGCAGGAGGTTGTTACCACAACAGGGCAGAGCCTGTTCTAGTGCTCTGTCACCCTCGCAGTAAGTTAGTTCTTCCTCATGTGGATATTAAACTTCCTAGGAAACAAAAAGTTGGATTTGTCCATCCTTAGCTGTTTGATGGCTCCATGGATGCTGTTACTAGCTAATGTAGGTTAGAATAAATCGGACGCCCTTCCAAAAACATGGGAAGAAGAAGAAAACAGAGAGGACTTTTTCTCCTCACTGCCTTGACAGTCAATTGCTTTATATAGAACAGGTTGTCTAGATTAAAGGTCTGAGTGAAGAGATCCTGCAATTTCACTAGGGTTGGAACTGTTCCTTTTATTGCCTTATAGCTCTCTTTTGTAACTGCCACTGAGAAACTCCTTAAAAAGCAAGGACCACTTTGTAACCTGCTGTTTATCAGCGCTGTAAGTGCCTGTAACTGCAGTATCTATCTGAAACAAATTGTTGGAGTCTATAGATATTAATCAGAGCCTGCTCTGCTGAACGGAGGACTTCCTCGGAGCACAGACAAAACTTGCAGCACACTATCTTGGCGATAAAATGAACTGCTCCTGAGAGAGGACAGTTGCTGGCAGTGAATTAGATGATGCTGTCACACAACAAAACTCTGAGCCTGCTCTGGAGCAGTGCGAGATGCTCCGATCGCAGACGGACGCAGCCTGGGCAGCCGCTCTCCCGCAGGCTCCACGCCGCGGAGCAGCGGGCACCGTCCCAAGCGCGCGCGGCTCGCGGGGCATTACCTGACTTGGACTTGAGGAGGATCTGGATGGCGTGCCCGTCGTTGATCACCTCGCAGTCGCGACACACCACGTAGTTGGGCGCCAGGCGCACCTCCAGCAGCGCCGGGTCGTACCTCGCCTCCCGCGAGTTCAGGTTGATGGGCGACTGGTAGTCGCCGTTGGCCTCCGGGAAGATGAGCCCCCACTCCACGCCTGGCGCGGGGCAAGAGCCGTGAGCACCGGCCGCGTCCCCCCGCGCCCGGGGAGGC